CGCACACCTACATAAGGTTGGTCGTACACACCTTAAAGGCTCCTCCAAAGTGAGAGTTTGGCCCCTATCTTCTAGTTGGACTTGGTATTAGCCTTGATGCACCTCAAAATTGACATCTTGGGCATGAACATGGAGAGTGTACGGCCGCACACCCCTTTGTACGGCTGCACACACACCCTTAGGGTCGTACACCCACTTTGATGATCATATTTGGCCTCAAACTTGCAAAACCACTAAGTATGGGACCTAGAACACTTCTTGGATGCTAGTTAGAACCTCGGAAACGCCTCAAAAACTCATCCCTTCATGAGTGTACGGCCGTACACTCATGGGCCGTACACCCATGGTCGTACACACCCTTAGGGTGGCTGTACACCTCCCTCGTTTGACCACTTATGGATTCGACACTTAGTTCAAGTGTTTCCAGGCCCTTAGAGTGGTTTTCCCATCATGTCTAGTCATGAAATACCCTAATCTAATACATATATATATATATATATATATATATATATATATATATATATATATATATGTTATTATATGTTAAATAGGATCCATTTGCGTATAAAACTTCAGTTGACACTCAGCATCCATACCGACCTTACACTCGAATCCTACATCAAACAGTGAGTTCATACCCTTACATTTTTATGGTTTTTAAACGTTTTCAGGGAGGGGGGATACAAGCCAAACATAAAGGTTTTCAAGAATCAAAACTCATGCAATTTATACAAATCAATGGTTTTCATAAAGCATTTAGATACTTTATCCCTTTTGTATTACGCGGAGCATAAGGGACGTTTTCTAAATTTAATTGCATAAGTTTTCAGTGCAGTTTCACGAACATAACAGTCAAACTATAATATGTATAGTTTAGGGAATTTCATTACCGGTTTTACAAGAGTAGTTTATAACACGCGTTACAAGAGTACAACAGCTAATAATTATTTAAGTGTAATTATTTTTACTCTTCAAGACATACATCGAATTCAAGTACAAAAGAACATTATGTGTTACATATTATTACTCGTAAAGTCGTTAACGTAGTTGGGAGACATGTCCTTGGGCACTTACAACATTAACTAAGTGGAGGACTACCCTTATGAACCAGAATTTCCTAGAGGGAAAGCATGGCTTTTGTGTATAGATCTATACGAGACTAACTATCATGCACCTGGTTGCTAGCTACAGTCAAACCGGCAGGTCTACGGGTGACAAATGTCATAAAGGATACCAGCGTCCGTTTCACGTTGTATCAAGTTTAAATATGGTCATAAAACTCGCCAATAGTACGGCATATTTACGTAATAATACACTTCTCATGAACAATTGCTTTAATAACATAGGTATGAATAATACTTATGCCTCATCGTTTCAGAGCCATTAAAGCAACAGAACAAATACAAGGGAAAATAAGGGATTTCCCCAGTCAAACTTCAATTACTTTACATACTGGTGGTAGCCAGGGTTTTCAAAATCAGAACTTACATTCTAGTAGTAACCAAACATACAAATTATCACGTCTCTTACCTTTCAAAGGGCACAACAACAAACATTCATGATTAGTTCTATAACCCCTTAGTTTATACACTAGGGTTACTTATAAAGAATATTCGATAGATTGTGAAGTATGTGGCTTCCGCCTCATTTCCTGTTCCTTGTTTGGTTGTGGGCTTAGGGCAGATCCACATAATCCATTGTTTGTTCGATGTCGGTTTATATGTGAATAGTATGAACTAAGTGGTGATAGAAAGGAACTGGTTTCTCCCTACTTTTACTAAAGAAAATATTGGATTTTCTAGGAAAGCAAACAAACATCTATACAAATTCATTGACTAGTTTTCATTACAAAAACATGCTTATGAACTCACCAGATTTATGTTGATACTCTTTTTCAAAATCGCTTGTATTCTCAGGACAATAATAGACAGGTACCCTTGCCAACTTTTGGAGAAGACGGAGCATTTTGTAGTCTCGTCTTTATCTTTTGATACTTTTGATATATATAAACTTTGTATCAAACAAATGTAAATATTCATAATATATTGTAATGGTTATGTTTACTTTGAATACTATGATGCAATTGTTGTGATACTACATATGACGTCATCCACCTCCAAACGTTTTCGCCGATATGTTTTACAGTTCGGGGTGTGACAGAATGTGTTAAGTTGGGAAAACTCGGCTAGTTATCCAACCAACTCGACGAGTTGGTAGGTGCACTCAACGAGTTGGGTAAACATGGACTATTGACCTTGATTGTTAACTTTGACTTGACCATGGTTGACCAAGTTTGACTCTGGAGTGCATTTTGGGTATTTTGGGGTTTTGATGGGGTTGGTTACATGGTGGTTGTAGGCATTTGAGTCTGGAGTTGAGTTTTGGAGTTGGATTATACCAGTTCAGCACTTCTTGTGAGGTGGGTGTTCCTCACTGTACTTGTTGGGTCGAAGGCACCAAGTCGACCCTTTCTGATTGTTATCATGATTATTGCATGATTGAGTATTGTAGTGATCTGTTAGATCTGTATCCTGGTAATAGGATGATGCTATGCTTAGTGATCTGTAAGATCTGTCTATTCGTCTGTTGACTGGTTATATGTTTAATTGTTATATATATATATATATATATATATATATATATATATATATATATATATATATGTCGACTTGTTATGAAGGCCCGAGGTGGCGTACTAGTTATGTTGTAGGTTCTGTGAGCATACCAGATAGACTGTAGGCCGGTGGGGCGTTCCAGTTATACTGAAGGCTCTGAATGCATTTTGTTGGTGATATTATTATGTTTTTGTATTTTGTTGGTATTTTAAGGGGAAACTCACTAAGCGTTGGGCTTACAGTTTTGGATTATGTTTTAGGTACTTCTGAGGATCGCGGGAAGGAGAAGGCAAGATCGTGCACATCCTCATGTTTTTATTTCATGATTTTGGGATTTCTTTGATGTTGAACTCATTTTGAAAACAATTTATAAACAATGATGGTTTTTGGGTTTATGTAAAAGTTTTAAAATTTTCAAAATTTTATGGATGTTACATTCTGTTTTTTGTTCTTGGGATTTTGATTACTTATATTTTATTTTTTTTACCCTGAGGGTGTGGAACATAAAATTTGCACATACTCTTTATTTTTGTATGATCACTAAGTGTTCGATAAAATTCATCAATGAAAACTTCCTCCAATTTTGGGCTCCTTTGCTTGTTTACACTTCTAAATCAAATGTATATATGTTTTTTTATTGAATTTGTAAAAGAATATATATTATCTATGTGATTGTTAAAACTTTGAAGTTAATCTTTTCATAGCATAATCTGTGATTTGCAATGAATGAACATACATTTTATTTTTATTTGCCTTGCATATGACAAATCCAAGAAGGTAAGACCAATGCTAAATGCAATTAACACCTAAAATTCTTAAAATAGACCATTGTGAGTTTTATGGCATACTTTTTGTTCTCTTGAAATAGAAATGAAAAATAAAAGAAGATGTAATTTACTGAATTTTAGTCTTTGATTGGAACTTTTGACTAAATCACCATGATATGTTTTGTTTATAGATGTTGAACTTTTAACAACTTAGTAGTTATATCCTTATATGAAATTCACTTGTGGAGCATTAAGTTTGGATTGCCCTACAACTTGACGGACTTTCTTTGTTTGGCCTTTCTTTCTTCAAACATTAAAATTCACTTTTCTTTCTCTTTCCATGTTGCTAGTTTATCTACCATTGCTATCTTGAGGGTGATTATAGCTGCTTCTTCTTCAAAAGAGCATGAAAAAGTTTATGTGAAGTGTATCACATTTTCCCAGCCTCCTGTTGGCAATGCTGCTTTGAGAGAATATGTATTATTGTCTTAATGTCTTATGGTTTTATAAAAAGTTTGAGAGAATAAGTATTATTGTCTTAATGTCTTATGGTTTTATAAAAAGTAGCATACGAAAGACAACGAAAGAAAACATAGTTGATAACAATAAAAAAAAAATGATAATTTTCAGTTGATTATAAACATCATTAATAGATGTTTGTTACGGATTGTATATTAAATTATATTGGGTTTAAAAAAATACAATTTAATTATTTTAAAAAAAATCAAAAAAAAAAAAAAAATGTTAGAAGTGTTACCACTCCCTACCAAATGCTAAGAAATAGGTGTTAAGAGAGTAAAATAGCATGACACTCAACAATGACAAGATGCTAGGAGTGTTAACCTCTCTGTGACTTTAGGGATTAAAGATTAAAAAAAACATGTCATAACCTACTTTATGTTGTCATAAAACATTTAAAAAAATTATCAACTAATTAGACCAATATCAAAAATATTATTAGCCTAATATGTTATCTTTTCACGGTCATTTTGAAAGGAAGGGGCCATAAAAGTCTAAAAGAAATACATGAAAACGAAAGGTGGATAGTGAAAGATGAGCAACAAACCACGATTCCAAGGCTAATTCATACTTCGCCAATTATGAGTGATGTTATACATATAACCTCTCTATTAAAAAACAAAACATTTGGTGCAAAAAAAAAATCTAAGAATATTTTGTACTTTTCTTGAACAACTAAAATTACATTATCTTTCATAAAATCCACAAGTATTTATATTTTTCCTGAATAACTAAAATTACATTATCTTTCAAAAAACCCAAAAGTATTTATATTTTTCCTGAATAACTAAAATTACATTCGTACGCCGCAACATATATCATTATTTCTATATTCCAATTTATTACTATTTTCAAATTAATTAATTTTTATATTCCATTTTATTATTATTTTTAAAATTAATTACTTAATTAAATACACACTTTAATGATTCATTGAATTCGAACAGTACATGTTCTCTGAAGAAAACCCCACTTCCTATATCACCTCCTTTCCTTTTGGCCCATTTACTTCTTAAACCCTAAGATACTTCTCCTAGATCTCAGACTTTCAGATAGAGGATAAGATCCGTGAATTGTCACAAGATTTGATTCTTGAACGATGAAAATTCAGTGCAACGTGTGTGAGGCGGCGGAGGCGACGGTGCTGTGTTGCGCCGATGAAGCGGCGTTGTGTTGGGCTTGCGATGAGAAGGTACATGCTGCTAACAAACTCGCTAGTAAGCATCAGAGAGTTCCTCTTTCTACTTCCACTTCTCAAATGCCAAAGTGTGATATTTGTCAGGTATGTTTGATTACTTACCCGTGTTTTTCGTTTTTGCTTAATGATTTTGATTTGATTTGATCGAGTTAGGTACAACACATGCTATTATATCGTATGGGCCACAGCCAGTTGTTGATAGGAATTTCTTCTGGAAATTAGGAAGATAGATCGATCATTTTGGCTTATCGATTGAACCCGTAATTCAGTTGATTAACTTCTAATGATTCTAGGAATTTTCTTCCTGTATCTCAACTAATTACATACATGTTCAGGAAATAACTTACTAAACATTCGAAATCAGTTATCGATGTTGTATTCATTTTTGTTAAACAATCATTGAATTCAATCATACAGGAAGCAGTTGGATACTTCTTTTGTCTTGAAGACAGAGCTTTGCTATGCAGAAAATGCGATATAGCGATACATAAAGTCAACACTTTAGTTTCATCCCATCAGAGGTTTCTACTTACAGGAGTGAAAGTAGGTGTCGAAGGTCCTGAAATTGGTGCATCATC